TGTTCTACCCACACAAAAAAAAACCTTGAGGATCAGGGTTTAGGGTTTATAGGGTTTAGGGGACGGCTACGACCTCGACATCGTGCCGTTCATTAACCTTTCCCCCCAGTTGAAAAAAACCCTTGAGGAGCTGAAGAAGAAGTACGAACACGACCACGAAATTGCTGCGTTGAAGAATGCTCTGCCGGGCGAGGGGGATCCTAACGCTGCAGGCGTTGCCCAGAGCAACGACAAGATGCTCTCCGTTCAGAAGAATGCCGAGAACAGGAGCCTGAAGACCAATCGGCTCTTCCCGACTCCGAACAAGCCAGACCCAATGCCGCAGAACCTTGCATTCCTCTTCACCAAGATCACGCCGGACCGAAAGGGGATCATAGTTCTGGTTCACTCGTTCCATGCAGAGGAAGGGCTTTATTTTGCATTCTTTTGTGTGTGCTTTTTTTTTGTTTTTGTTTTGGTTTCTGCTTTTCTGCATTGACGATGTTGGTGTTTTAAATATTGTTTTGTTTTGTTTGCTGTGGCTTTTAGCGTTTAGTTTGTTTTGTTGCTTGTTGCTTTTGTTTGTCGCTTGTTGCCATCAGTTTTTTTTTTGTGCTACTTGTTAGGAAACTCAAAGAGTTGTTGTTCGCGTTTTCCATTTCATGCTCTAATTGAACGTTGAGGGTGCGTGCTTAAGAAGTATGATGAACCGGAGTCGCCAAACGAGGGGGAGTGTTCAAGATATATGAAGAGCCGGAACTGAACCGCCAAATGAGGGGGCGTGTTTAGGATATATGATGCCGGAATTGGCACATGAGGGGGCGTGTTCAAGATATCACGAACTGGAATCGCCGCATGAGGGGGCGTGTTTAAGATACATCATGAACCGGAATCGACAAATGAGGGGGCGTGTTTAAGATATATCATGAACCGGAATCGACAAATGAGGGGGCGTTCATGATATATGTGATCCGGAATCGCCAAAGAACTGGGCGTGTTTCAGATATAAGATGAGCCGGAAGACAGCGACACGGCGATGTGGAATGAGCATGGCGCTAGGCCTGGACAACAGAGCCGATGCAGCAAGCTTTACGAAAACATCTTCAAACCAGTTTTCTTAATTTGTTTCTAAATGCAGGAGCAGATGATCTACATGTGGAATGTGCTTACGGCAATCTTCTTCAGCCAAGTGTTGATGGTGATCGGCTACTGTGCAGCCTTGGCTTGCTTCCCAGACTACTGGTGGACCTGCACGCTCTGCTTCGGCATCCCGTTCTCGTACATCGCCATCCAGAACATCTACATTGATCACGACGTGATGCATGGCGCCACTTTCCCGGTTTACGAGTGGCAGCGCTTCCTCACCCATCCATTTGCGGATTTTTTTTCGCTCCCGTGGGAAGAGTTTGTCCTGGAGCACAACCGGCATCACGCCTCGACGGTTGACCTGCTGATCCAGGGCGAGTTCGGCTGGGACCCCGAGGAGTTCCACTACGCCCTCCAGCAGTGGGCCGGACCATGGGGCTCCAACTGGTACAAGTACCTGCTCACCGTCCCATTCATCCCTGTGACTAGGTGCCCCAGTGGTACCCTTTTGCCCTTTTTAGTTTGGGGTCCCCTTATTAAAACCGAATATTAAGAAAAAGGGTACCCTTATTATGAAGCGGTTACTGGGGAACCTAGGTGATCCATTTCTTTGGCCTGAACGATACTGGCTCTCTGTTCGCCTTGGAGTGGTGGATGCACTTCCCCGACGAGGGTGCAGGTGGCAAGTGCAACAAGGAATTCTGGAGCAAGTGGGTTCCACGCCGCGTCAAGCACAATGCCTTCGTGCTCTGTTTGTGGGCGCTTGTGTGGCTGCTCGGCACCTACCCTCTGGGACGTCCTCTTAGCGAGGGCTGGCGGTTCATGTTTACAGTGTCCTTCTTCGCTCGCGTCGGCTACTCCGCAGCCTGGATGTTCATCACCAACTTCACTCATAGCTTCTTGGCGGCTTCAAGTTGGGACTATATCGAGTTTCCCGTTTGGTCTTAGAACGGTTCACCCTAAGCCCGAAACCCTGAACACTGTGCTAGGGTAATACCGACCGAAACCCTAAAACCTTAAATGCAAATTCCTCATACTACAACTCTTTAACATCCGTGGCCAATATGGAAGCCAAAATAATTACCAACATTATTTCTTAGGTTGTCTTGTTATCAACGCGTTACACCTTGCCTCAAAGCCCCGTTCCAATTCACAACGCCCCCGATGTTACCCTGGACCCTGAACCCTAGACCTTAAAGCCTAAAGGGACTAAACTTTGAAAGATTACAGCCCAGGCTTGCCTTGGAACGAGTTCCTGGCGCAGGATCCGGGCCGCACCTGGCCTGTTCTTCACAACGTGATGGCCATGGTTCTGGGAGGGAAGCACCGCTGGAACGAGATGCTCTTCCACGATGTCCATCACGCTTTTCCAAATGCCGTAGGCACGCTGAGCCAGCGCGGCCGCTTCCACGGCTGGGAGAAGGTTCATGATGCAGCTGCAGAAGTCCTGCACCGCGGGCTGTGGAAGCCCAACGGTGACGAGGAGACCCAGATGCAGAAGACGCAGAAGAAGCGCTCCATGATGATGAAGCAGGGCAAATGAGTTGCACAGTTTTCGCTTCTGCCAGCATAGAGCTGCTCAGCTATGCTGACAGCATGGTGTTGAAGCCTCTCTTGTACAGGGCCTCTTGCCAAGGGCCTAGTTTGTACAGCCTCTGTGCATGTGCCCTGCGGCACCCTTGAGGCCCGTCGAGTAGGCCCCTGTCGGAGCCACTGGCTTCACTGGCTATGTCTACTCTCGGTTGAAGGCGCGTCAGGAGCCTGGACAAGAGACGTTGCCAGCTGCGAGACTTCCAGCGGCGGCAGAGAGAGGGAGGCATCCCTGCGCTTGTCGAAGGTCAATGCCCCATACTGTGACGGTGGGTGCGGGCCCTTCCGGCTCCAATGTACTGCTTTGCGCCCTCTCCGCTCTGTGCACGGTGATCGCCAGCAATGTTGTATTTCTTGGTATGTGTACTGTGCTTGCTCACTATTGCAGACGTGTATCATTGTGCTTCCTATGTGTATTGTTGTTCTCATGAAGTAGTTCTTGCTCCGATTTGCATTGTTGCTGTTCTTCTCAACACTGTCGTCAGGACAGTTGAATCCACAGGCCACGGTAGCTATGCCAGGATCACACGACTGCTCTTGTTAGTTTCAGGCATGCTCTGGCCTGTGTTCGTAGACCTCTGATCCTGCAAGGCGCGGCCAATTCGACCCGGAACATGAGTTCGTCCTGGGCTGCACGGCCTTCTTCGTCACTGCGCTCTGGCCGGGGGCTCCTGGGTTGCAGGGCTCAGCTTGCAGATTTCGAGGTTTTGACAAAGGCTTCGGCTATGGATTTGTATCTTCCCACTTGAGTGACACGCATGACATCTGATGGTGGTGATGGCGGGAATTGGCTTCGCCTGGCCCGGAAGCCTCAAGTCAATGAGGCTTCACCACAGTCCCTGAAGCAACGGAGAAGCTGCGAACCAGGAGCCCTGAACCATCAACTCTAAAACCCCCCAAATGCCTAGGCACTAAACCCTGGACCTGCAGTCCTACGGCCAAAGCAGCCCAAGCCGTTCTTCCGTCTTTGAAGGCTGGAGGGTTTGCTTCACCTCGCGTGGCCTGGAGCCTATGCCTGTGGCACTTTTGGGAAGCTCTTCCGGGTTTCGGGGAATGGCGCCTCCTCTTTGTGAAAATCCCTATGCCGAAACCTTCAACCCTAAAGTCTAAACTTTCTGCTGATGAGTTCTGGTGGTGTGGGGCGGGGGGCTTGTTGTGATGGTGACTTGCAGTGACGATGTTCGTGCTGGTGGTGTGATAGCCGCCGTGGTCGTTCTGGTAGGGATGGCAGCAGCAGCCCCCTTCGCAGTGGTGGCAATGGTGCGGAGCACTGGCATTTGCGTTCGCTTGAGAATCCGCATGGCTCGCAACAATAGCACCAGTATCCATTCTCTACCCCGTACGTTCTGGTGTTGTATGCCAGGATCTATACATCCGCATACAAGCTAAACCCAGGCCCTGCAATGCCGAAACCCTAAGTCGCAACCCCAAGCCTTGAACTCCTAAACTCCTAAACTCCCCTAAAGCCTAAACTACATCCTAAACCCTAAAACCCTGAAGCCCTAAACCTGCAACAGCCGTTTTTGAAACCGACCAGAAGAAGCCGGGAGGCCAAGTGCAGACCTCGTGATGCTTCCGAAGTCATCGCCCTAGGAGTTTTCGCGTTTCAGAGTCGACGGGCTGTGGATCCTGACTTTTGAGTCCATCAAGGGCCGGAAGCTTTGCACTTGCAGTTGCTTAGGGTTTTGCCATCGTTTCTCTGATTCGGCGAGTGCCCACAGATGCGCCTTTTATCGCGGCTTTCAACGCCGAGGCGTTTCCGCTCGGTGCTCTTCCTGGACGTGCGCGGGCCAAGCCGTTTCTTTGCCTTCACTTGAACCCGATGGTGCTGGTTGCGGTGGTGGTGCGGCTTTTTTAACTGTGCTCGAGGTGTTTGTGCCCCTCAGTTTGTTTGCCACATGGGCACCGGTTGTTGTCCACTGAGGCTTCTTCAGTACTAGCTGTTTCCTTCATATCAAATGGAACACCCGGGTGCAGTGGTGATCTGCTTAGCGTCTTCGGCGCGTGGCGGCAGCACTGGAGTGGGTTGCGAAGCTGCTAAGGTCTTCGGCGTCGCAGATGACATCAAGCAGCAGGTGGATTTGCGCAGCCTATGCCTTCACCCTGAACCCTGAATCATGAACTCATAAACCTCAAGCCCTAGATCCTAAACCGTCGTAGTAATCCTGACTTCCCAGCTGCTGTGCCTTCAAGTCCGCCTGCCAGGCGCACCACCCGCAGCCGGATCAAGACGGTTCGGCTCCTGATTTTTTTTGCACAGACGGACTGCAGAGCCAGACCTATATCACAACAACAGGTGTAGGCAGCATTGTGAGAGTAGAAGATACTTCTAGCCCATGCTAGTTCTCTGTAGGCGCAGACTCTGACAACTTCAGGGAGAGTTGCACGCAAGATTGCATTGTTCGGAGCTTCCCGAGCAAGAGCCTTTGAGATGATACCCAAACTCACGCCTGGCCAAGACGAGCCCATCCATGAGATCTCGAGGGAGCAAGCGGCCCCGCCCCAAGTCTGCTGCTGCTGATGCTGCTATCTGTCATATCCGGTAACGAGGGCTTCCGGAGGAGGGGGGGTCGTGGGGTGGAGGTTCAGGTTCTCGCCGCAGCTCAGACCCAGCCGTTCGTCTGGCCTTGGCGCGGGGTTGCGGGTTGGCAAGCCTCGTGCAAGCCTCTCTCGATTCTCGATGTTGAAAACCAAAGCTCCTGAATCAAGCCCAGTGAGCAAATTTTGAGCCGTGCAAGCCTTGTGTCCGTCGCTGCCAAGGAGGAGGCAGACACTGCGGTGTCGGATGCCGAGGCACTAGTTTCTTCATTTGGCAGGAGGGCATCAGGACATGACAGGAGACAGGGATAAGCATGAGCCGCCGGCAAATCGGGCACAGCCCATATCACATAGCAAGAGCCTGGAACGTCACATCCAAAGCTCGAACCCCACCCCCTCCAACCACACACTTTGCACCGCAAGCTCTATGAGAAACGCCCCGATCAGTCTGCTGTTCGTCGCTGGGCCGAGCTGCCGAAGGGCAGCAATGAGGCGAAGGACATCAAGGTGCCGCCACTCTTTGGTGCAGCTTGGGGGCAGATTCGATTACGCAGTAGGGAGGACTTTGTACAAATACTACTAGACAGTTTATGTTGTCACGTTGGTCCTCCTCCCCTGAGCTTCAACCCTGGCACCGCAGTGTCCCTGCCAGGGGCCGTTGGAGGATCTCCGATCGAAAGTCCTCACGTGGCGCAAGGTTGGGGCTCCTCCGTTTCTGGCTTTGGGTGGAAGGACTCGGGTTTCTGTGTACAGGTTGTGTTTGTGGAGCGTTGAGACTGAGCAGCAGCGCAAGAACGCTGGACTCTTGAATGCGAGCATAGGCCCCAAGAAAGATCAGCAGTTTAGCCTTCAGCCTCCAGCCCTCTTGACACCGGCAACATCCTGCCTCAGGTCTTGAACGGAGAGGCTGCTAGGAGAGCCATCCGCCGCGGAGACACAGCGGATCTGGACGCGTAGCGTCCCAAGGAAGGGCTCAAGAGGGCTCTGAGTGGAGCCAGGTTATCTGAAGGCGACCCCATAAGTGCTGTCTCCGGGGTCTGATGTCCTGAAAGCCATGCTTGCGCACGCTCACAGCATCAGAGACAGTGGGGGACTACCCCAGCAGCTTCACGGCACCTCTAAACCGTAAGCGCCGTAAACCCGAGGCCTGAGACAGGCCAGAAGCCCCAAACCCCCAAACCCTAGCCTAAACCCTCTGACCTTCGCTTCCAAGGCTGAGACCGGATACCCGAACCTGGGGCGAGCTCACTGAGCCGCTTTGCTCAGCTCGGCTTTATGGCACGGTAGGTTTCAAAAGATGTTTATGTCAGTTTATGTACACACACACACATAGACAGATATGTCTAGAACATACATACGTACGTACGTACATACGTAGGTATGTTTGTCCGTCTGAGTAGGTGTATGTATGTATGTATGTATGTATGTATGTATGTATATATATATATATTCATTCATATGCAGTGGTAGTGATTCCTTTTTTAGCTCAATTGACAGCTCAATGCTGTCGTAAGCGCTTGTGATGCTTCCTAACTTGATGTGATAGTAGCCTTCCTGCTTCGCTTTGACTATAGTATGACTCGCACTAAGTAAGTATGTGTGTTCTGAAAGGAGACCCAGTTCTTGACTTTGTCCCATGTTCACACCTGGCCTTCTTGGGAACGGGGTACGCACAACAGTGTAACGGCGAGTTTGAACGGTCCTAAACCTGGAGTCATGGAGTCATTGAGCACGCATATTGTAATTGTGCACGACAAGTGATACTGACAAAAGCTGTGACGGTAATCATGGCAGTGTGCATGTTCGCTTCTCATCATCATCATCATCCCGTTCCTTCGTTAACCTATTCATCGCCAGGACCATGGTTACAGTAAGTATCATCACAGACAACATTCCTCGCTCGTTGTCATCGTTGCCACCGCCACCATCGCCGTCGCCAGCAGCATGACCATGGTCATGGTCATAGTCAGAATCATCGTCAAGATCATCTTCCACGACATCATCATCATCATCATCCAAGGTAACATGAAGAAGTGCAAGCTGAATTGAAATGTTGGCGGCGAGCATGTGTTGAAGACGGCAGTGTTGGAGTCTTGATGTCTTGCATATCTGCCCCATTGTACGGGAGCCCTGAGTTTATTCAGGCGTTTCGCAGGCGCTCCCATCATCCCGGAACCCCGTTCTCTTCATCTCGACCCCTAACTTTCAGGATCGACCCCTACCTTGCGACCGGATAGACCACGCAGATTCCTCCTCTTCGCGCCGAGGGAGGAGCAGGAAGAGGATCCCTTCAGGGGTTCCCTGCTGGGGCCCTTCCATCAGGACAACGAGGGCGCCGGGATCTTGGCGCCAGGGCAGAGATGGGTTTCGGAGCGATGAGAAATGAGGATATATATAGTGGGGCTGACGAGGATG